TGGTTAGTCACAGCTAACAGCTAGAGGGTAGTGGTAAAAAGAAACGCCCTTTGAAGGGTTTAAACGGAAGGCAAGCTACACAAGTGCCACTGGACAGAAGCTGACTTTAACTGAAGGAAGTCTTCTAGTAACCAGAAAGGTTCTATCAATTAAGAAACTTAATAAGGCCCTTCCTAGAGGCTGCTGAGAAGCTGGTCCATTCCCAAGAAACCATTTAACAGAGAGAAGCCTAGCCAAAGGATGCCTCGTAAGTACCCCAAATAATCAAGTTGGTATTGGTTTTAAATTTTCTAATACAAGATTAACAGGTATCTAATTTGTGTAGAGCTATTTCATATGCTAATCAGCTGTTAGCAGCAGGACTGTCTGTCTGTACCTTGAACTCCCTAAACAAGCAAAGTAAGCCACCTGAATCCTGAAGCCCAAACCCTAGCCCCTTTCTCTTCCTAAGAGAGAACCATATTTTGAAGTTTATAATGGCTTGATTTTTTGCTGACTACCATATTTTAGAATACAGTTCAAAATTTATTAAATTTATTTAAATGTGTATGAGTGTTTTGCTTTCATACAAAGATATGTACCACATGCATGCAATGTCTGTGGAGGACAAACAGGCATCAGATCCCCTGGAACTGGAATTACAGATGGTTGTTCAGCCACCATATGGGTGCTGGGAACAGAACCTAGGTCCTCTACAAGAGGAATCAGTGCTCTTAACTGCTAAGCCATCTCTCCAGCCCCCAGTTCAAATTTTTGATTTTTATTTGTGAATGTGAAATACATGGGTGGAGTACTCTTTCCTAATTAATGTGCACAATTTTAAGTCATTTCTTGCACCTGTGCTTTTCTACTATTGATGAACCCAGCTTTCTGCCATACTAACAATGCAGCTAAGCTATTCTTATATTAGCCCTTGGTACAAAGTTGGCAAGAGATTCTTAGTGTAGCATAAGTTCATAGAAATAGGATTGTTCAGCAGACTTCATATTCATGTTTAACTTTATTTGGTACTAGCAAATTGTTTTCCAAAGTGATTGTACCTACTTCTGTTCCCTTTGACTGGTGTTCTGTCCTAGCTAGCTCACAGCTGTTCAATCAAACTATTCAGTAAAAGGCACTTCTGTTTTTGAAAAAACTGCCCTGGAATTTCTTGTTTTTAGCCATTTAGTGGTTGCTTTAAGGAGGAAACATATATGATATCTACTTACCTAGCAAGGGTACTTTGTTCTGCAGCAACTCACAGTAGCTTGTGGTGAGAATTCCAATGGGATTACTTGGTACAAACCGTCCTTCTTTTACTAAACGTTCACATGTTCGCATTAAAGTCCCTGAGAACTGAGACGGATCAACTCCATAGTCTCTCCATCCTCCTACACCATCTGCAACTCCTAAAAAAGAAAAATTGTACTTAAAAACACTGTCATTGGGCTGAGGGTATAGCTCAGCAGTAGAGTGCTTACCTAACATGTACAAGGCCCTAAATTCACTCCCTAGTACCACCAAAAAAAAAAGAACACATCCCCCCCCAAAAAACCAAAAAACAGTGTCACCAACTTGGTAGGAATTCTTACTCCATTTCTTCCTAACAGCTAATCTTTATGCTAGTACATGCACTTACCTAAAATTCAGACTTAGGATTATTAACGTACACTACCAACATGTATAAATACCCTTAAGTCACATGTCTGCTTACAATTTGGTCTTTCATATATCCCTGGATAAACTTTTGAACCACTACAGGGTGGCAATGCCTACTCGCCAAACTTCAAGGTCAGCTAGATTATCATCTTTGTGTAGAAGTACTAGAGTTATTCTTACTATTGATTTTACAAAGAAGAATGAAAACAAATTTTAAAAAAAGTGCTAGGGGGCTGGAGAGATGGCTCAGTGGTTAACAACACTGGTTGTTCTTGCAGAAGACTCAGGTTCATGGGGCTGGAGAGATGGCTCAGTGGTTAACAACACTGGTTGTTCTTGCAGAAGACTCAGGTTCATGGGGCTGGAGAGATGGCTCAGCTATCTACAGAACACCCAGGTTTGCATCCCAGCAGCCACGTGGCAGCTAACAATTATCAGTGACTCCAGTTCCAGGGGATCCAACAACCTCTTCTGTCTTCCACAGGCATTGCACAACACAGTGCACTGATCTGATGGCCTCTTCTGTCCTCCACAGGCACTGCACGACATGGGTGCACTTATCTACATGCAAGGCAATACACTCATACACATAAAATAAAAATAATAAATAAGAGCCGGGTGTGGTGGCACACGCCTGTAGTCCCAGCACTTGGGAGGCAGAGGCAGGCGGATCTGTGAGTTCGAGGCCAGCCTGGTCTACATAGTGAGTTCCAGGACAGCTGGGGCTACAGGGAGACCCTGCTTCAAAAAGACAAAAAAAATAAAGAAGTGCTGGGAGCTGGAGAGATGGCTCAGCAGTTAAGAGCACTGACCTCTCTTGCAGGGGACCCAGGTTGGAATGCTAGCACCCACATGGCAGATAACAATTGTCCATAACTCCAGTTCCAGGGGACTCCAACACCCTCTTCTGACCTCTGCAGCACTGCACAACACAGGTGCACTGACATACAAGCAGGCAATGCACTCATACACATAAAATAAAAAGAAATAAAATAAAAAAGAAGTGCTGATGCTAGTGATAGCATCGGGGTCAGAGTTGGCAGTCATCAAGAACAGAAGCAGAGCTGGGATGCAGTAAATAGCAGAGCAAGTCTGAACACATACAGCCCTTGACCTGACCCCCAGAACCAAGAAGGAAAAGAAAAATGCCAGAAACAGGAAATGTTTAACATCAAATACTAGTCACTAACTGTGAAATAAAGAACTAAATGGAAACCATATTCCACTCTTTCCTCCTTCTTCAGAGATCGCCCACTGTCCTGTACAAGGATGTGCCGTTCAGTCTAGGAGCTATTATAAAATAGTGAGGGAGCTCTGAAAACAGGCTAGTCCACACTCTCTTTGAGTGGACTTTCTAAACTTAGTATGAAAAAGGATAAAGGCTCTCATTATTTAATACTGACTATGTATTCTGAGCTGGGCATGGTGGCCCATGCCTTTAATCCCTGTACTTGGGAGGCAGAGGCAGGCAGATCTCTGTGAGTTCAAGGCCAGCCTAGTCTCCATAGTGAGTTCAGGGACTACAGGGAGACCCTGTCTCAAAAGACCAAAAAAAAAAAAGAAGTATTTTGGAAGCCAGACCTGGTAGTGTGGGCCTGTAATCCCAGATGCTCAAGAGGCTGAGGCAGGAAGATTACAAATTCAAAGCAAGCCCAAGCAACTTAGTGAGACCCTGATTCAAAATAAAAAGTCAAAAGTGGGCTGGGGACATAGCTCAGTGTTAAAGCTCCTGCGTAGCAAGCTCAATCCCTAGTACAATGGGAAAATAATTATTTTGGATAGAATTCACTAAAGAGAATACATTATTGAAATCAATTTCACTTTTTAAAACTTTAATATAAGGATATTTAAAATTACATATATGGCTCATATTATATTTCTACTGGATGGCACTAGTGTAGACTTTCACAGGTACATGGGGCTGTTGATGAGTTTGTAGAATGCGTAAGGATCCTTTATCAACAGGAAACTAATGTTCAAATAGTCACTACAACATGGATTTTGATATCATACAATCTCCTATTCCACCCCTTGCAAAACACTATGCTTATACTTTTCAACATTAAAATCAATTTCTGCCAGGAATTTGAAACACTGAGAAATTTACCCCCTACAATGTATAATTTTAAAATGTATTACTGCTGCTGAATAAATGTACTTTGTTTTAAAAACAAAATTTAAAAAATAAATTTCTGCCTACTAACTTCAAAGAAACAGAAAACAAGTATCTGATATATACATTATTAAGGCTTTATATGGCCTTTCTGGAAGGATCTCTTAGAAATATTAACAACAGTTGTTTTAGAAATAAGGACGTGACAGTAAATAATGAAAAGAAGAACATTCTGGGACTATAGATGCAACTCAGTGGAAAGAGTACCTGCCTAGCAAGTGTGAAGCTCTGGGCTTGATCCCCAGCACCACAAAAAATACAAACCTAAATACCATATCATATCATCTTGTTTTTGAATTCTACATTTACCATGAACATGTGTCATGATTTTATGTATGAGTTCATGTGTGTGTGTGCACTCATGAGTCTGTGAGGTCAGAGGTCAACATCAGGTATCTTCTTTACTCTCAACATTCTTTTTTATCATTATTGTGTATGTGTGTGTGCGCGTGTGCACATGATGTGTGAGAGGGAATGTGTCATGATGTGTGGAGGTTGGGGGACAAGTTTGTTGAGTTGGTTCTCTCCATTCACCTTTATTTTATTATTATTTGGTCTTTTAAAAATATTTTATTTTTATTTTATATGTATGTGTGTACTGCCTGCATGTATGTGAGTGCACCCATGTTGTGAAATGCCACAGAGGTCAGAAGAGGGCTTCGGCTTCCCCTGGAACTGGAGTTAAGGACGGTTCAAAGCTGCCATGTGGGTGCTGGGAATTGAACCCAGGTCCTCTTCAAGAGCAGCCAGTGCTCTTAATCGTTGAGCCATCCATCCAGCCCCCCAAAAATAAATAAAATATTTTAAAGAGCACTGGCTGCTCCTGCAGAGGGCCTGGGTTTGAATCCTAGCACCCACATGGTCATAATAACATCAATTTCAAGGAACCCGACACTTCCTTCTGGAGTCCACGGCATTGCATGCACACGGTGCACATACATATATGCAGGCAAAACACTCACACACTTTAAAAACATTGGCTAAACTGTATGGCCAAGAAGCCTCAGTGCTGGAATTACAGGTGTGCACTACTGTGCTTCTGTGCTTTTGTGTTGGTGCTAGGGATAGCACACTGGTCTTCATGCTTGTACAGTAAGCATCTTATCAACTGAGTCATCTTTCCAGCCTCATGATTTTATATAAAAATTTTTAAAAAATTGTTATTTTTATGTGTATGAGTGTATTGCATGTGTGTAAGTGCACTCATATCGTGTGATGCCCATGGAGGTCAGAAGACGGCACTGGATTTCCCTGAAACTGGAGTTATGGATTGCTGTTAGTCACCATGTGGGTGCTGGTAACTGAACCTACGTCCTCTGCAAGAGCAGCCAGTGCTCTTAACCACTAAGCCATCTCTCCAGCCCCTAAAAAAATTTTTTTAAGGGGGCAGGTGAGATGGTTCAGTGGGTAAAAGTTCTTGCTGCCACACTTGATAACCACAGTTTGATCCTTGGGACCTACATGAAAAGAGAGAAAACCAACTCTTAGAAGTTGTCCTCGGACCTCTGTATGCAATACCCTATGACACACATGCCCACAGAAACTCTCTTACACACACACACACAGAGAGAGAGAGAAATAAGTATTTTTTAAAAAGCCAAGCATGGCAGTGCACACCTATAACCCTAGCTCTTAGGAGGGAGAAAATCAAGAGCTAAAGCCAACCATGCCTATATAGCAAGTCAGAGGCCAGTCTGGGCTACATGAGACCTTGTCTAAAAAACAGAAAGTCAAAAAGAAGGAAAAAAATAGGATTATTTATTTATTTTGTGGTATTTTACAGCTCAAACCCAGAGCCATTTGAATGATAGGCAAACAAGCACTTGATCACTAAGCTACATCCCTGGGTGGAATGAAATTCTTTCTGAGCATGAAACACCCTCCTCATATAACATCACATTTTTGTGCATTCAACTTTTACACATATCTTCAAAGACTGTATTTGGTACAAAACTGGCTTAATACAAAATGGACACGCCAAACTTTTTCTGGTGATGGCAGTTATCGAACAGAAATGGAACACATCCTGAAAAAGTAAAAAGAATTAGAAGGGGAAAACAAGAGAGCGACAAGGACTTACCGAGGAACAACTTCCCTAACTGTGACCAGTCAAATTTCACTCTGGAGCCTTTCCAAATTAGCTGATGAAAGATAGGAGGCCTGACATTTGTTTCAAAATAACTGGGGGTGGAGATGGGGGGCAATGGAGGAGTAGATGAATCAAGCCTGGTCATGAATGGATCGTTGTTGAAGTTGAATGAGAGAGCTATACACATCCCTACTTTGAATACTTGAAATTTTCCATAATACAAAGTTTAATAATAACGATAAAGTTCAAAAAGAAAAGCAATCCTTGTTGCCTGCTGGGTGGAAGCAGTCTGTTTTGGTGTGACTTCAGGCCCTGGTGGAGGTTTACATGCATGGGGATCCATGAACTTAGTGGGCTGAGAGTGCAGGTGAGAGACAGGAAGCATCCAGAGCCACTAGGCACCTACCTCACTAGGAGTAAACACCACATTTTATCCTCATTTCCAAGCAGTTTTAAGGAGATGAGAAAGTATTAAGAGAATTTAAGAT